GTGTAATTCAAAACGGAAGTTAGTTAGTTGTCAAGGTCACATACTTAAACAACAAGCATAATCGTTTAGTGATAAATGTACAGATTGTGGAAATAAACAAATGCAAAAGCCATCAAAAACTATTTACAAAATAGGTTTATTAGACCTATCTTCACACACTGACTTCAACGTGCTGGGAGGTTCTTGGTAGGAAGAACGACCATTATAATGAATTTGTCTTTATCAAAACACTGGTCAGGATTAAATAAAATAACAACAGGAATATTGATATTAAATTCAGCTTAACCAGAACAGAGAAATTCAAGGCACAAGCTGAATAAACAGAAGCAAACAAGCAAGTGTAAAAGAGCACTAGAGGAACGACAACCGTAAAAGCCTCAACAGAAGGAAATATGACACAACGAAAAAACTGGAAGGGAAATATAGTAAACCATGGAGATTGGACAAGGACAAAGAAGGCAATTCAACCACTGAAATTTCAGAAACAGATGATTCCTTTGTATTTGAATGACTTCTGATGGTGAATTACAAATACAGTCCGTTCGTTTGTTCTCATCTAACTACGCTCTACTCCAAAGTCCGCTAATTCTCATGTGCAAGCAAGAAACTTCAACGACCTGAAAACAAATGTCAATTCTATTACTGCTACAAAGTTAAAGAACCTGGAGAGGAAAGCAGATAAGGTCCCTCAGTGCCGAATTGCCAGACCGTACGCAAAAGGAACAATGACGAAATCGCTTAAACAAAAAAACCTGCTCACAAGATCTTTTCCACAATCTGTGGAAGGTCTGCTAAAGCAGGTCAGTGAAACTGTGGTTCATATGCGAGCAAATCACAGCAACCGAATGCGATACAAGGGACCATGCGAGCCTGTTTCAGTTTCAGTTGTTAGTCCTAGCATTGGTGAGTACATTCTAGGCTGGATTCAGTTGATCTTCAAACCACTTTGTTCGTTAAAAGACTAAAATATTTGTATCACCAAAGTACACTTTGGCAATAAACTATCAGTTAGGTGTCGTTCATTGTTGCTAGGTTTACCGATGTATGGACAGTTGACTTTGGAATCTTTCTCGGTTTAATTAAAGAAGACAATCTGATACGACAAATTATGCATCTACTGATCCGATTTAGAGTGATAGTTTGATGCTACTCAAGTAGTAACAATGGTTGGAAAAGATGAGTAGTTTATGATGAAAATAATTGGAAGCCGCGTTTAGTGTCAAGGAAATACATCTTGTGCATACCAACGAATAGCACTCTTGGATCTGTCCGAATTTAAGATTATGGTTGACGGGTTCTTAGTCGGAGTTGATTGTTTCGGGCTCGCAGTTTTGTCGTTTAAACGTTTATGGTAAATTTCTACGTATCTCACGAACGACATTTGCTTTGTTTTTACTGCCAGTTTTATTATGTCAACTGCCATATTTATTCATTTCTCCATGTGATTCTGTTGCTTGAGGTGATTAGATGTTTTTTTTATTTTGACGGAATTCGTACTTTCTGAACGGGAACATTCATTGTTGTTTCGTAAATAAATATCAAAACTGTACATGATATATACAGAAAGGATAGGAAAATACTTTTTCATTGTTTTTTTTTAAACATTTCATTATTTATGTTGTTTGGACAATTATTGTTTGAGTAACTATGTGGTAATATCTATTTGGATCTGTCAATTACCTAACTATTTTGTTTTGAATCTTCACTTAGTAATTACACAAGTATCCGTACTAACCACAATTATTACTATTACCAAACCAATTTATTTTGGTATAAATAATATACATGAAACAAAAGAATAAATTACCCAGAACCAACGGAAGATCTTTAGGGAAATGGTAATCTACACAACAATGAATTCTCAGAATTTTCATAAGTGTATTTTAAATCTGATCAGCTATTATAACCTGTTCAGAATGCGGTGTTGTAGAGTTTATGTATTTTTGCTTTCATTCATGACTTCTTATATATACTCGTTTCTTTCTACCGAGGGAAAATTACATACCGACTGCGTTATGATATTTCTAATTACGACCCAGCTACTTTCGTAAAATTCTGGTCTAGGTCCATATTAATACGCCTATCAGTGCTACTCGGACAATAGTGATATGCCACAATTTTCTATTTGCGATGATGTAACTTCAATTCACTGGACCGTAGTGGAAGTCACATCACCATCTATACCTACTCCTACTATCGTAACAGTTAGTGGTTGCAGTTAAAAAAGTTCTGGAGAATGATTTTCAGTCGTGCAGAGAATAATATCTTTTATATGAGGAGCGAGGGGTTACACAGAGTGACTACACCTGAATGGTCGCTTTATGCTATACCGTTTGAGTCTTCCGTGTTTTTGTATGGCCTCTTCAAAGTGTTGGATGTTAAATGTGAATCTCAATTATAATATTTTTTGCCCTAAAGATCGTGTGGTTTAAAACAAATATCACTATACTCTCATTGTTTAATATTCTTGGACACCTTAAGTCACTCGGAAAGTCTTTAAATCAGAACACGTTTGAACAGGATCGTTACTATATTCCAAATAAACAAGAATTAAAACAACAGAGGCGTTAACGTTTTTATGCCCTTATACAAGAGGATTTTGAAGCTTTCTCTAAGTGTCCATTATCTCTGGGTCGCTTCGAAATGGCTAATTGACGTTCTCCAACACAATTTCGCGCAGAACATACTTTAATCCATGCTATATGCCGCTAATAGAGTGATTGATAAGATAACACGTGGTAGCATTTTGTAAGATTATGAGTGCCTGTCCATAACCATTTTCGTAATGACATAGAAACAATCACTGTATACCTTGTCAACTGTCTTTAGCTCTCTTCACAACAGCAAAGATTCTTCAAAAGTCCAATAAATGATAATAGGAAGCAGTAAAAAACAATAGGTAATACGCAGAAATTCACAAATCATAAAAGTAAATGTCGAGTAACTCTATGAGGCGCAGCTCTTTTATATCGGACTGGAAACGTTCTCTAAAGCTAATTATATATGCAAACACGAAGATAATAGCTGGGAATACTATTAGCGAACGACTAGTGTTTTCAGGTGCCTGGATGGACTTAGTTTGTCTATTGTATAAAGTGTTCCTTATTAAGAAAATGTGACCAGTTGTAAGGGATATTGAAGCAACTTGTATTTTGAGTTGTGGATGCAAGACAACTTTTAACAGAAATATTCTGGATTTAGGAATGCATCCCTTAATAAAAGCAACCTAAAATGGACTATATCAGATTGGTTTACCAAGGGTTTAACCTGTGTCTTAAAGTTTCCAACTTCAGAAGGAGATAGGAATGGTATCTATTTTTATTACTGAGGGTTGTTCCCTTCACTGTTGGATTTGCTTTTTAGGAGAATGTAAGGACTACAAGATGAAGTCTGTCGAATAAACCAACAGAATGTAGACTAAAGTAAATTCCTTGAGGGACGTCGCAAGACAGGAACTCTACTGGAAACACTTAGTAGCAAAAATATTATTGCTTTTGTCTTCTTATGTTTTTCTCATCACATTTCGGAGTCTTTCTTTCGTTCTGGAAGCACATTCGTAGGTCGTTAAATTTTGTAGTGACCGACATGGAGGTAGCTTTTTCGATAGACAACCTGCTTTAATCTACACAACAATGACGGTGTCACTATTTCATGAATCCGCCATCTCACTGCTTCCCGAATCCAGTGAGACTTACGTAGTCAACGTGCTATTTTTACATAGATATATTATTTATGAGTACAACGGTCTAATAAAGACTTCATTAGAGCAAAAACATAATGTGTCATGCAAAATCGGATACGGCATTTGCTAAGTGTGAGAACAATACATTGAATACACTACATCTTAATAGCTCCATCGTTCTTTCCTGTTGCTTCTCAAACTGCTTATGATTCACTTCTGTCAGCAAGAATTCTACTTCCAGTTTCCGACACGTATTGCTTATTTATGTCCGGATAAGTGGCACACACCACTGCATTCGAATACTTATTCGCACTCACTAAAGGTCTATTTTTTTAAGTTTTAGAACATCAACTCTTACTCAGTAAGTTACATTGCATTGGCCGATACTCAATACCTGGTTAAGTGTAATTTCCTACTTAATGGAAAATTCGTAAAGTAGCTTATGTGATTCTCAGCAATTTACTGTAACTGTTGAAAGTGCCAAGTGTCCAAATTACTTTGTCATATGCCACAGGAAATAGTCGTACACTTTCTTTAACGTCGTATTGTTCTAAGCCCCACATCAGACCAAAAACTGTCGTTTAACTCAAGTACGGTCATGTCTGCCCAGCTGCCTTATATATTTGATGCTATTTAATGTCAGTTCTCTAAACGTTACTTCATTTCTAAGTGATATATCTTTTGTCGAGGAACTCTCAATGTTTGTTTCACGGAGATCTGTCTTTAACAGGGTTCTTTCTTGATGTCCTTCATATGTCTATCTTGGTCGAACATGGTCAATTATCGCATACGATATTGCTGGCGGTTAACTGTTAAGGATCTTTGATTTGTGCAGACGTTTGGAGATTAATAAATTTTCATCTCATGTAGTTAGTTCTTTTGCTTCCTGCAGTTGGTATAAATGTTCAATTACTTGTTATCGCTTTTCAGTATTGCACATATGCAAACCAACCGTTGTGCTCCTTAGTAAATAAGTAACCTAATTTTGCCCGTTATTGGGAATTCGGCACCCATATTAACTCCCCATCCAGGAGATACAGAAAGGCTTTAGTGCGGTTAAAGTGTGCCTATTATAGAATGCCACAGATATTTGGAGCGTGGGGTTCTTATTTGAACTCATAAGCCCTTCAAAATTGGACACAGAATGGTGAAAAACAATGCCTCCACAAAGTGAAGGATTGTAAAAGTATTTTATCTACCACCTAACTTAAACCGTTGTATAACTGCTTCAGGAACGGATTAATATGAAGAATTCCGTTAAAATCAGTTGGTCATAGGCAGTCTTCCTAACCCGTCAGAAGGCGATGGTTCATCCAACTCATGAATTGGTAGGAAACATACCTGATCCCCGCAAGTTACTTACTTCCAAGCCCTAGTAAGGGATTAAAAAGACATGAAGGTTATTATTTTAGGCACTGTGTTGAAAGAGCTGCGTCTGTTATGTCTATGGAAACGGGATTTTTATTCTTTCCTAGAACTTATGTGTTATATGATCGTAACTAGTTGAACAGAAACATTCTCAGTTCCAAAACATTAAGTAATACTTCAGCTATTCTAACTGCAGTTGGAAAACCGTTATTCTACAAAACATTTGAAGTTGACTGACCAAGGTGTGATCACCAAGAATAGTTCGTCACAAATTTTAATTTCACTGTGCCTCCGTATTGATCTCACACCTCAGGTTTAGGATTTTGGTGGAGATTATATTGTTTATCAGCATGTAACATATGAATAACTCCGCCTGTGTCTCTTCTAGGGTTTCTGTCCAACCCAAGCTCGGGTAAAGGAAGAGGGTTGGGTATGTGTTAAGTAATGCCCTCCCAATGAAAAAAATCTCGTTAAAATACGCCAAACAAGTTAAACAAACTAAATCACTTAAACTCTATCATGGAAGTTGAAGGAAGAACCATGACGCCTCCGAACTAAAGCTGAGGTTTTTGCGGATTCACACGTCGACGCATACTCGATGAACTCTTGAATTGACCAGCTCCAGTGAATCCGCTAGAAATCGAAGCAGCACCTGCAGATTTAATATAGATATCACTCCAACAACAATCTGAGAAATCAGGATGACCATCAGGCAAATCAAGTATGGGAAAGCAACAGGACATGACGAAACAAAAACTGGTCTTTTAGAGAACTAACTTTTACTCTGCGGTGCAAACGAGAAAAAAACGATCATTTACAGACCAGAGGGTAAACTTTTAGTAAATACATAAACAACCTTAATCTTACTTACCATAAAGCCAATGTAGCGAAGATTGGAGATAAGCGAGTGAAAAGTTAGCGTGTTTGATCTGGAAGCCTTAGACATGTTGGGTTGGAAAAATACATGGGGAGATTTGAAGTCATTGCCATCAATAAGTTTAAAATGATCCTGAGAGTTAGAAAGAACATTCTGGAAGTGGAATGTGACGACAGCAGTGGCAATCATCCATAAGAAATACAATGAGAAGCTCGAAGAAGCAATAACAATACCAAGAGTGTGGGCAAACCAGATTAGCAAGCGATAAAACTGATGACTAAGATCACCAATAGGTAATGTGCAAATAAATATTGAAGTTAGAAAAATGAAAGTTATAGAACACTTGATAATTAAAGAAACCCAAACTGCAGTATTCACAACTTTATAAGCAAGCGGTTGAAACGTATAACCATTTTCAACTCTTGATCTAAAAGCAATATCAAGGTAAGAAGCCAAAGGAGAATGGATGACAACGGCTACCACAGACTCATCTGATTTTTGAATGGATGTAAACGAGGTGGATATCAGGTTACAACTGAGTTTCTGAGGGACATAAACATCACCTGGAAAGTAAATGTGATTCTAGTTCAGAGGTCGAAAAGTAAAAATGTAAATACCCTTACTTCATTTATTTGTTTGCAGAAAGCGAAGATTGTCTGACCTGGTTTAATAATAATAACATCACCCGGAACAAGTAAAACAGCAGGCAAGACCACGATTTTTCCATCTCGGATAGTGAGGTGGGTATCCAAACCAACCATCTCATTTAAAAGTCCATTTAGACAAGGTGAATATGAAAGCTCATTCGGCTTCAAATTTCCTACAAACAATTAGAAACAACATACTTACTAAGACAAGTGACGGAAGATCTTAAGAATGTCTTAAACTGTGTACAAGATGAAATTATCCTTTTATAACGCGTTAAGAACGTTAAGAACAAAAGGCTACTTGACAAGAGGACAAAGAGCAAATCCCCAGCAATCGATATCCAGGAGTAGCTAGAAATATTAGACCAGTCAAACAAACTAGTTTATAGGACATAAAGTACCTGGAGGAATATCGGTATGAAGCAACAGAACATGATATAAGAATAAGTGACATTATGCTCAACATAAGAGATAATATATCCGAACGAGACCAACTCAGCAATACAACACCACTTATTGGTCTTTCACTTAACGTTTCCAAAATTTTGCAAAATAGTTCCAAAGCCACTGGAGTTTCTAGACCCTGACTCATTGTAAAACTGTAAGCATAATCGCCTTGACAAACAAGGCATAACAATAATCTTCCCGAATCAACCTTGAGAGATTAAATCTTGCTCAGACACCCAAACAGTTTAAAAACATTCCGTTCAATGATGGCGTGCTACAGTAAACAGGTACTCCAATGCTAAGAAAATTGAACTCCGAGGATTCCATAATTTTCACAGTGGTAAATGAGTAATCGCTCACTGTTATACAATTCAAAGATTAATCACACGAGTTTTTCCATAGTTTTATAAAGGAAAAGCCACATCTAATACTTAATACACTTTGTCAGTATTCATTATATGTACATGACTCCTAAAATGAAACTGATATGTACCTGAATGTGGAATTCCCACGCAACCACCAATAATAATATATATTACTTGTTACCATGTTCAATTAATGTATAAATTGGTCATATTTGTATCAATAAAAAATTCAGATAAACAATCGAAGACGTGAAAACAAACAGAGGTACTAACGTAGCTTCAGATCACCAACTGGTTGTGTTTAAGATGTAACTAAAGCTAGAGAAACAATAAACAGCTGGGGAAACTGCAGTACAAAGGTTCTATACAGCACTCCTTCGAGATACTGATAAGCCCAAACAATTCAAGATAACTTTCGGCAACAGGTTCCAAGCTTTACAATATCCACTGGAAGAAAAGGAGACTACCATGGAAGAAAAATGGAAAGGGATCAAAAAATCACACACTTTGACGTATCAGGAGGTGTTCGGCCGGAATAAGCTTCATCATAATGAATAGATCTCTATGGAAACTCCGGACAAAATTCAATAAAGGAATGACAAGAAGACAGCGATCAGCAACAGCCGAACAAGAACAGAAGAAGTTGACGCACAGGCTGGATACACAGAAGCAAACAAGCAAGTGAAGAAGAGTATTAGGGATGACAAGCAGAAATATGTGATAGACCCAGAAAGGACAATGGATAAAGCTGCAAGAGAAGGAAATATCAGACAATTATATGGCACGACGAAGAAACTGGTAGGGAAACACAGTAAACCAGAGAGACAGGTCAGTGACAAAGAAGGCAAGTCAATCACTGAAATTTCAAGAACTGGAGAACAGATGCGTAGAAAACTTTGGGGAACTCTTGAATAGGTCAGCTCCATTGAATCCGCTAGACATCGAGGCAGCACCTACAGGCCTTCCTATAGATGTCACTTCATCAACAATCGAAGAAATCAGGATGACTATCAGGCAAATCAAGCATGGAAAAGCATCAGGACCTGACAATTCACCAGCCGAAGCACTAAGGTCAGACATAGAAGTAACTGCAAACATACTACACATTCTATCAAGGAAAATTTGGAGGGAAGGTCAAGTGCTGACGGACTGGAAATAAGGATGTCTCATCCAGATACCAAAGAAAGGAGATCTTAGCAAGTGTGAAAACTAAAAAGATACTACACTACTGTCGATACCGGTACAAGCTTCCAACATAGTGTTGCTGAACCGGGTGAAAGATCCGGTGGACGTCGAGCTTCGAGGTCGACAGGTCGGAATCCGTAAGGATCTGTCGTGTACAGACCAGATCGCGACACTACAGATCATCCCTGAACAATCAATTGGATGGAATTCATCACTATACGTCAACATCATTGGCTATGGGAAGGCGTTTGACAGTGTGGATAGGAAGAACTTATGGGAGTTTTCTTTGACACTATGGTGGGCATAGGAAAGTCGTGAACATCATCCGGAATTCATATGACAGACTACACTATAAGGTGATGCATGGAGAACAGCTGATAGATGCATTACAACTGTGAACCGGAGTCAGAAATGCCTGCTTAATCCCGTACTTTCTCGTTTTTCTTGTAGTTGACTGGATTATTAATACCTACACATGTGAAGGGAAGTACGACCATAATGGACAGCGCGGATTTAAGTAAACGACTTGGATATCGCAGATGATCTGGCTCCTCTATTACATACACATCAACAAATGTAAACCAAGACAAGCAATGAAACAGAAGCCTCTGCATCAGTAGGCCCCAACATAAACCAGGTAAAAGCAAGATACTCAAATTCAGCACCGAGAAGGCCGACCCAGGACAGGGTTGGATGGAAATTGCTGGTGGGCGGCCTGTGCTCCCCCACGAGAGATAACAGGCGTAATGAGGCCAGGAAATCTCGAAAATCACAGCGAAAGTGCAGCGAATTCATTAGGTGATTCCAAGGTGCTACAGATACTTTGGGGTTGAAAGCGTTGCTTCTCATAACACCTTTACTACTGAGTATAATTCAGTCAAACAGAAGTCAGAAACCGAATTAATGATATTTGTCTTCCATAGCAGCTACACACCAATTTTTCAAGCACAGTCAAACATTTACTACATGAATTTACGGACAGCATACAGACCAGGTAGGTTTATTTAATAAATAAAGCAACTGAGAATAAATGACAGGATGTTCATTGAGATATACGAGCAAGGTAATAGTTATATTTGGATATTTTTAGGTACATTTGTAAGATAGCAGATGCGTCGAGAAGTTTATAATCTAAACTGACTAGTTTTTGTGAGGGATGCGTAACCCGGTGTACCTAGTTTTGACCCATTTTCTTATCTTCTTTTTACCACCTATTTTTGTGTTTGGATCACTAAAGTAATCCCAAACTATTTCTACTATTCCACGGCTCCCTTATAGTCCAAAGATATAGTCAGATCTCGACATGTTCGACCTGATACACGTTCATACTATGAATATAGAAATACATAGATTACGTTCATAAATAACTAGGACTCTAGAAATGAGTTGAAGATTATTGATCACAGACAGACAGACAGTGTTCGATTAACAGTGAACAAAGGGCAGTAGGAAGTGTAATTTCCACAAAAAGAAGTAAGTAAGCACTTCTCAATCTCTTTTCCAATAATTTCTTTCAAAATATAGTCTATATTACTTGATTCTTCATGTTACCATCTTACGGGTGTGTTGTAAAAAGATCCCAGTTGAACCGATGTCAAAAGGGTGTGTGTAAGTATAAGTCCATGAGTGCTGAAAGAACAAAACCCAATGGTGATAAAAAGACCCCAAATAAAACAGTCAAGTGTTGAAAAGTTACCAGTGGATGTGAGCGACGATTCGAATTCTTTAACAAGCTGTCATTCAATTGTAAATATGTTCCATGATAACAGAGATGCTGTACAAAGATTTATTGACATAAACACCAGTTTATTCATATGCTTTCTTCCCTTACTGGTATGATCCGGTTTGAAAGCGTTAGTGGTATCTGCGAGCCTTATTATTTTTAAAGGCAAGATAGTCTGCTTTTCATAGGTTGCAAACTCATAACGCATCCATCTCATAGATCTATCTGAAACTTAACTTTATCTTAGGCCCTAAATTTATCCTACCATCGGAATTTATTCGGTAATTTTCAAGTCAAAACTAAAAACATGATATTAGGTCTAAAACTTTTGTCGAACATGTGGTGTTCAGTGCTATTGAATTTAATGCCTAAGTTGCACAAAATAACTTTGGTATACAGTATATTTACAGAATAATAAATATATATTGAACCTCTGAATTTCTCAATCTGGACCACATGTGTTTGTTCTTTTGTTCCCAAAAACGATCTGAATCCAAGGCGGTTAGTCGTAATGCCAGACAAACGTGGTTTGGCTGTGCAGAATGTAGAAGATCTGGTTAGTGGAATATCTCAATATTTGACGGAAATTTTTCTAGGACGTTTCAAAACTAACTGCCTTATCACCGGAGGTCATCAGTCGTCAGGCTACCATAAACATCGGTACTATAGGCCATGTCGCCCACGGGAAGACAACAGTTGTGCGTGCAATTTCTACAGTGCATACCATTAGGCACAAAAATGAGTTGATCAGGAACATCACAATAAAGCTGGGATATGCTAATGCTAAGATATACAAATGCAATAGTGAAGCATGCATACGCCCTGCTTGTTATCGGTCATTCGGAAGTGCAACAGATGATTCCCTTCCCTGTCCTAGACCAGGATGTGATGGAACACTAACATTGCTGAGGTAATTTGAATAATTATTTATCTGTCGTAGTAACTGCTAACGTCTTCCGATAAATACTGTTTATTCTTTTCAGAGCTTTTATTAAATCACGCTGATTCTTGAGTTAATAACACTCATTTTGTCACTACTCTTAGTAAGAGCACGATGTGGTGTTGTCGAGTTATTCCAATCTCTCAAATGTCCCGAAAGTGCTTTGGTCATAGAGTTTTGTTCACTCACTGAGTTACTTGTTATGAAACCACCAGCCTAACATTTTAAAAACGATGGACCGAGTCAACACTTCTACTTAGCCTCCCTTTCATTCTGCAATGCCTTATTCTGTATTGCTCTAATCGCTTTTACATGTCCTAGCGATTACGTGATTTAAATTCCCCTTGGTAAGTACGCTGGGATAGTACCAGTTACATTTACTACCATGTAGCAATCCCAAGTTCAGCCACGGGGACAGGTCCGTTGTTCTGTTATGACAGCAAGCAAACGAGTCATGTTTAGTGGTCATGCTACTTCCGAAATTGGATTTTTGACATAATAGTTTGCATTACATTGTTATATTGTTCAGGCTATCTGTTAAAGTCTTTAATTCAGCTTTTTTAATGCGCAGTGGAATCCCAATCCTCATTTAAATTATCGCACTTCACGTACGTCACCTTTGTCAGGAAATAGTTTTACGCTTTTCACTGTCTTGTGGACATTATTGACACTATCCAAAGTTTAGGTTTAACAATAGAGTTTTAGTTGATTTAAGAACGAGTAGCCATGTTAATTTCCTCAATCACCTATTACATTTGCCATTTTTTGTTTTGTACTCATATTCTGTACATAAGCATCTTATTTCACTGTATTAAAACCTACTCGTCTAGCTGGTGGTCTTTAATTTCTAGTCATTCATTGGGCTAAGTCAATAGTACGGCATCTTAATTAGCCGTCACTAGACGACAGTATATGTTATTAGGCTCATTCAT